GAGCCTAATGGGACAGTACATACAGAAACTTAAGTTATGGTCCCTAATACGTTAAATCATTTGGCCGTTTTCTTTCTTCCTCATCTAGAGAGAAAACACCCCATTTAAGAATTAGATGATTTGACTGAGGAAGACAATAACTCGACGTGCTCATTGTCTTAGAGATTTCTGTTAGAAATTAAGGTTGCACTAATAGAGACATGTATTTATTCTAACTTATTTTCTTAATAATTTAATGTGATGATTCCGTGGAATACGATTTCCTGCCTCCTGGTTACGAATGTCCAACGAAATTAAACTAAAGTCGGCTACGTTAGTGGCTTCTGACCATTAGGTAATCAAACTCAACGGTTGTGATTACTGGTCCTTCTAATGTTGCTAAAGTGGGTAATGATATATATATATATATATATATATACACACATATATATATGGGCAATGATACGAGTATGGGCAAGAAACTCCTCATTTAAGAAGTAGATGATTTGACTGAGGAAGACAATAACTCGACGTGCTCATTGTCTTAGAGATTTTTGTTAGAAATTAAGGTTGCATTAATAGAGACATGTATTTATTCTAACTTATTTTCTTAATAATTTAATGTGATGATTCCGTAGAATACGATTTCCTGCCTCCTGGTTACGAATGTCCAACGAAATTAAACTAAAGTCGGCTACGTTAGTGGCTTCTGACCATTAGGTAATCAAACTCAACGGTTGTGATTACTGGTCCTTCTAATGTTGCTAAAGTGGGTAATGATATATATATATATATATATATATATGTAGTTTTTGGAAGGATGTTATTGGCTTCACATGACAAGTTGTCATTCTCATGGGACCCATCAAATTGACCCAAAAGTCTTTGAAACGTAACTTACTTTATGATTGTTCTACGGAGAATGTAGTTGAAATTAAGGTACCATTAATTAACTATACATGTAATTAGGATTGGAGCAAAAAAAGAAAAAAGAAAAAAAAAGATATGATGATGATTAATTCATTACCGTTGGATGTACCCCCTGAAATTTAGTTAAAATAAAGTAAAATTCTGGTCACGGAAATCTTGATAAAATTTGCAAAAACTCAAGATGTTTTTTCCTCCATCGAATCTGTTGTACAATTTGTTAAGAAATAGACACCCTAATTTCATACCTAGAGTGATAAAAATGTAAATAAATAAAAAATCAAGCAAAATACAAACACGCGAATTTATATGAGATCACCTTAATGAGAAACTACGTTATGTTTCAGCCATGGTAGTAATTCATTAAAAGGTTGATCAAAATTGATTCATGAAATCCTCTAAGGCAATAATCATTAGGGCATAATTAGGCTCCACATCTTAACACAATCTATTGGTTTCTATAAGGGTTTTTGTGTCCCTTCTTCATCATATTATTATTCTTCTTCAGCTGAAATTCTACTATAAATTATAAATCTGTAATATGAGTAAATATTATGTGAAATCTGTTGGTTTATATCAGTTTTTTTTTTTTGTTGAAAGTTTTCTATCAGGTTTTTGAGACTTTCTTTCAGGTATCTTTCATGTATCATTCGCCTATATATTGAATTGAGAACAAACTACCAGTTACGTATATCCAACACTTGAAAATCACATTTTACGTGCATGAACAACCAGAATCTTACGTAGGATGATATGATAATACATTTTTGAGTGACAAAGTATATATAGAATAACATGATCAGCTCAATTCCCGTTACACACACACACACACACATATATATATATATATATCAGAAGAAATTTGTCTTCCTCGGTATCACTTTCTTTTTTTTACTAGACAGGATTTAAAGGAAATCTCAATTTAATATTTTAGCGTTAGGTTGATTCCTAAGCATCGCTATGGAGGTTTTAGGCTTTGGCTCGTCTCAAATATATACAAGATTATAAAAAAAAAAATTTGTATAAACTGCTGAAATATATGTGGATCAGAATCATTAATCCATACTATAACAAAGCACAAATTAAGACGTTTCCGTTGGCTGTTGGCTGTTTCGTTATAGGTTTGAATAAAAATTAAATTTCTATGAGAAAAAACATCGTAATATATATATATATATATATTTGAATTATGATCATTCAATTCACAAAACTCAGAAAGGAAAGTCCAAGATTAAGTTTTGTTTTGTTTTGTTTTCTAGCTAATGCATGTGGAAAGGTCATCTTTTCGAATGTAAACAACAATTTTAAGTGTGGAATGTTTAATGGAAGAAACAATATAATATTGATCTCAGTATTGCTTTTTTAACGAACTGATTCATCAGATTGTTTCTTTTCGTCATCATAAATTTCTTAGGAAACTAATGGTTTGGATGGGGCCTAAAATGTTGTCTATCAGAAGCAGTCTACAAAAAGGGCAACACTGCCCCACAAGCGACATTGAAAATTATTAAAAATGAAAACATAAAAGTACAAAAAAGATGGTTTTGGAAAATTGTCCTTACAAAACTGGGGTAATTGTCCAATTGATTAAATATTAAGCCAAAGAAAGAAAACTGATCAAACGCTGGTGGGGTTGGCACATGGGTTAATTAGCTAAGAACCAAAATTAGGCGGAGCACATAGTGGAGGCCACTAATATTTATTAAGCTATTTATATGAATACCATGCATATATACACGTATACATACATATATATATATATTAATGATAGATAATTCCATGAATATATATGTTAGGACTTTAGTTGGCAATTTATTGGCATTTATTATAAAAATTCAAAACCAAGTATTTTTGGCAACTGGTGTTTATAGAGAAGATCGGATGTGTTTTTGGTTGCTTGATTGCTTTGAATATGGATTGTTCTTTTCTTGATAGAAATCAGTTTTTGGAAGGAAGTATCCTAGAAGATTAGGGATTAATAGAAGGAAGGAAGTATCCTAGAAGATTTGTGAGAAATGGAAAGTTATTGCATTTCTGGAAACTGAATATAGTTTCTGTTTTTAAGAGTCAACTATTGATCTAAAGATGGTAAATTGATAATTGGTAATTTGATTGATATTTGATTGAGTTTCCGTAGCTGGATGATCTTTTTCTATCTCCTAGGAATGTATCCAGATTCGTATATCAGTTTCGGAAAGATTTTAGGATTTAAGAAGATTGATTTTCGGACTTGTTTTGGTATAGCTAACTCTGACAGCTGTGTTGCAGTTCTTGTTGCAACAAGGATTTATAACATATTTGGTTCAGCGAATTAATTGAAGAGGTTGTCAAGCTATTCACACTTTACTTATTTATTCAAAGCGTCCCTTGAGTCTTTGTACACCAGGGTGACTAGTTTTTTCTGGGTTGTGAGACAGGGGTGAGCACTTATATTCAGAGAGATGATTTGAGTGTTTTTCGGGAGAAAAACTTAATTGGAGGGATTCCAATGTTAAAAAGTCGATGGGATCTCGTTGTTCAAGTCCATTGGAAAATTGCAAGTTCATAGGCGTCTTCTTAAAGAGAGTCTCGGGTAGATTAAGTCAAATTGAATTATAAAATAGTTCTTAGTGGATTGTTCATCATTTGGGTGTGGCCTCGCGGAGTAAGTTGTGACCGAACCGCGATACTATTTCTCTTATGTTCTTTTATTTTATATTTTTGTATTATTTATATTATCTTACACAGTATTAAAAGACTCAAACCGGTACCTACAATATATATGTTATCATGTGTGTATAGATTTGGTAGAAGATATCATGAATTTATTAGAGCATTGCACTCGGTGTACTTGATAGAAAGGTCAAAATGGACTCACAGATGTCAAGTCTTTGTATTTTGGACTCTTGAGAGTTTGGTTTTACTTGTCCTACAAAGAATCACAAGACTTAAACTGGCATTAGGCGCCGCATTATATTCTGTTGACCTCACTTTATTCCTCAATATCACAGGGAATATTTCTCATCAATTTTCTTTAAAAAACAAAAAAACAAAAAAAAACAAAGAAAGGAAAAAAAAAAGGGTAATATCCTATGCACATAAATTTTCCATTAAATCTATCTCCCAACTTACATGACAAGTTTTTTAGTCACACAAATTGCTAACTCAACCTAAAAGACCAGTATAAATATATATATATATATATATATATATGTATATAT